AGTATCGAAAACCCGAGAGTTGTGCCCGATTAAAACAGTATAAATATTATTTTCGCTTTTTACACGCCTAACAGTTTTCTCCAAGAAGGTTAGAAAAATTTCCAGTGACCTTCCAAGTGAGGCAGTTTCTACTAGTTGATTGTCTTTGAACAGGGTCCTGACTCCTCTGGCTGTTCGGAGACTTCGTTTTGAAGATGTACATATTTAAATAATCACATAACTGTTTCTTGGAAACCTCTTCATTTTATAGCCTCAAAGTTATGTGTACATGTACTTGCCATAAAACTGAGAATTCATTTTGACTTTTCTTTAGTTGTGATTTTCTTTGGGCAGATAAAAATTGTGTTTTCTTACCTGCTTTACAGTGCTGACAACGTTTAAGTGAACTTCTCAAAACATCCGAGTCCATATTTCTACTTCCATGTGGAATGCAATTTTCCTTCTTTGTTTGTTTCTGATTAAACTTCAATATTTGTGCGTGGCCAGGACTTGAACTCGGGCCATCTGACCCAGAGTCTAGCACACTGACCATTAGACCACTCACGACTCACGTATTTCTGTTTTGTTGAAATCTCCAAGGTCGAGAATTGAGATCAGTGTGAATCAGGGGAGAAGAAAAACATTCTTAAACGTCTAAACATTCTTAGACGTCTCTTGGGGCGATTAAAATTGTATACTATTGATAGTCACAATGATGATAAAGTTTGGACGGGGAACCTGCGTAAATTAAATTTGCCATACTAAGTAGTGTTTCAGCCATAGAATGAACTGTCCTGAGAGGATATGAGAATTTTTAATGAGCATTTGTCTTTCATCATTTCCAAGTGGTACAGAAACCGCAGCTGGGATAAATAACACCATGTGGCATCACATCTGTGTTACCTGGAAAAGCAAAAAAGGTGCATGGCAGCTTTATCTGGATGGACAACTCCGAAGCAATGGAACAAGCTTGAAAGAAAACCACCAGGTTCCAGCCGGCGGGACAGTTGTTATTGGACAAGATCAAGATCCAGTTGGAGGGGGCTTCGAGATAAACAATAGTTTTGGACCGGGTGAGGTGACAGAAGTTAATCTTTGGAGCAGGGTCTTGTCAGGGAGTGATATTGCAGAACAGTATGCAACTGCCACATTACCAAAGTCGGCCTGATGCACTGGTGGGAACAATTCAAAGATGGCCTTACAAATCTGACAATAATCGAGTCTTGAACCAAACTTTGAACGGAACTGAGATCATTGACTAGAAGTGTTTTTTTTTTTTTTTTTTTTTTTTTTTTTTTCACAAAGCGAAGTCTTTGTGTCACTGCAAGAATTTATGTTCTTTACGAGACAACGACATTAATACCTTTACACTCTTTTATTACTATCAAGATAATTTTTTTTTTTAATCACAATGCAAACACTTCACTCTATAAGGTAGCTCATCATAAGTAAATCCAGAATAAACCGATATTTTAACCACGCTCTATGTTGTCTTTGACTTCGGTAAGAAGACTATTGGAGCAGAACTCTAAACCCGCTATAGCTAAGTGATACCTCAGGGACCTACTATTTCCAAATTTGACCCTTTACTGAGCGTACTTCTGGGAATATCGAGAATCGATGAACCGCCCAACAGAAAAATCGAATTGTTTTATTTTGCCATAACACTTCTTTGGATGAAGGATGTAGGGAAAATTCTTAAAGGTTACATCGACGCGAACCTTTACTAAGCGGCACTGTAATAAGCGGTAACCCTGTCAGGCTAAGTGGTCGGTTTTCAAGTCTTGAAATTATTTTCCTTAATTACTGTAATTTAAAGCGGTCACCTTTTTTAAGCAGTCGTGGTCACACTAACTCACTGAGTCCCAACGGCCTGTTTTTACTGTCCTCCATCTATATTGAACGATCACTTAGAGCGGACCCATTCAAAACAAAACTAAAAATAGTCTTATAATGCCATATAAGTCCGCAAACCTTCCCCATTATACTGGTTTGTTCAATATCTCGCAAGATCTCGCCTCCACATTTTGACTTGTTATAGATTTGAACATAAAACCTTCTTCGTGAAACGTTCTCAAAGGTTACATATCCTTTGAAGAACAATGAAAATTGAAAGAAAAAAAAAGAAAAGAAGAAGAAAGGCAAACAAAGTTTGACGTAGCCAGGGTTCGAACCTTTTCGTTCGTATACCTTCAGTCTCAATCATTTGCGCTAGGTATGCATAGCGTATGAACTGGCGAAATTAGTTTTGAAATATATTTAGCACTCATTTAACGCGTGTACTCATTTTATTGCCCTTTTACTGGCTTGTCAATTGACCAATGTACAAATTATGTTCCAACCAAGTTCTTTTGTCACAAATTTGGCATCGACAGGAGCTGTTCATCGACCCCTCTGCATTTTATATCACATTGCCTTCTTTAGTATAATACTCTACACTTATACAACAGTTAGCGAATGCACTCAGACTGCCGATTCTAACTTGTGGACAGGTCCACAGACGTGTTACCGCGCATTTGCGAGTGTGGCATGACGCAATTTGCGTCACAAACGGAAAATACTGGCATCTATGAGTAATTAAACACAGTATGGCGGCCATTGTAAGGTGGAACGAACTGCCTGCCTTTTGTTTGGGACACAAGTATACCACAGTTCCAAAGCGGCGTTAAACTTAGTCAACACAGGTTGGTAAGTACAAAAGCTACTCGGAATTGAATTTTTGGAAATGATATGAAATGTTAAGACATTCCGTTACAGGATCTGGACAGCAATTTAAAGCCTCAACGAAATTTGATCTTTGAATTTACCTCACTGCCCCTTGCCACAGCGTTACAAAAGCGTTTGAGAGTACTCCTGAACTGTAGGAAGACATGGACTTATACCATCATCAAGTGAGAACATTATACACCATACGACAATTTCCTTCACCCATCACAACTAACTCCACTCGGTCAAAGGAAGACTGAATAGTCCTCAAAATGGTTATCAATTATACAAAAATGATGAAAGCTTAATATTAGATAAAATTCACCTAAGAAATATCTTCCTGATTAAAGTCAGACCTAAAATTTGACTGTCAGTCGTCAAAGACCCGTAAATTTAAACTTCAGCCGTCAAAAACGGAAAAAAGTCAACCGTCAGCCGTCAAAGCTACCCCCCCCCCCTCTCCAATGAGATCCTCTAATTAAGAAAGATGCTAAGTTTTAAGCTCGATAAAGGTTCTTTAGACTTCTCATAAATTTAGGCAACACGCTGTGCTTACTGGGAAGCATGCATAAACTGACCAACAACTTGAACAGAGCAGTGTTTTCTTTATCACTTTTAAATTTTTAAGCAGTCGAAGCATTTTTTTCTGAATTTGTTTTAACAGCTGTTTAGCTCCATTTCTTGTTGTACTTCCTCAATATGTCTCACTTCGGGGCATTTAGTCTATTTTTGACCGTCTCGGCGGTCACAAATATTCACGGAATTTCCAAAAAATATCTCGCGCATAGCTAATTAGAGGGTTCAAAATTTGTTTAGAAATGCCAAGCGATTCCAAAAGTTTCGATGATTTTTTAGTGGACGAGTTTTCCGAACTTGTGCACACCATAAAATTGCTACGTCGGGAATGTTTTCGAAGTTAAGTCGACAACCTGACGATTTCACGATGTGCGCAAGATCGGAGAATTCGTACTCTAAAAAACTGAGGTAAGTCTTGGAATCCTTTGACATTTCTTAACAAACATTTCTATTCTTCACGAGTTGAAAGAATCGTATTGTTGAAATTCTGTGAAAATTTCTGACTGCTGGGCTTTTAGTCAATTTGAGACGGCGCCTGACTGGCAGGAACCAAGACACCGCCTTAGGGCCTCTTCGCACTACGCGAGATGTTTTGCAAAAAAATATGTCAACGCGAAACCATTTTCAGTGCGAACGATTTTTTTGACCCACCCAAAAGTAAGATATGTAGCGCTTTTACACAACTAGAAAACAGAAACTGAATTTGCATCTGCCGAGATCTATGCCCATTTACATGCTATACGGTGTCGTGAAATGCAGCTTTACAAAATTCGCAAAACCGAACCGAGTTCGAGATCAAAAATAATAAACTTTTGCACAAAAACGGACTGATGTAGAAACTTAGGAAACGAATACAAGATAAATATGCGCCACTCGTAATACAAGTAAGAAACGTAAATTGAATGTGCATCTACTGAGATCTTTTCCATTTACATAGAAGATGGTGTCGTTAATGAACCTTTAAAAATGCCACTCAGAGTCCTTCTAAAGTGAAGATCGTCGACAGCACGAAACTTGGCTTAAGTCCAGTGAAGTTCATTACGTTGTTTAGGGAATGTTTCCTTTGGCCTTAAGTTGCTTTAAAATGCAGTTACAATGTTATGTGTGCATCAAGTTTTCTTTAGAATTCAGGTTGTCGTTATAAAATACGCAGGTCGAGTAATTATTAAACACAGATGGCATTATCAGCCCGCGATCTTTGCACCCCATCGCGTCATATGTTAGTTTTCTTAAGGTCTAGTGAATTTGTTCACAAAGGGAGTTTTCCAGAAGTGAATAAAAATTATCGTATTTACATAAAAGACTAAGCACTCCCCCATCAGCGCATCGATGATCAGCGTAACTGTTCCCGCCCCCTGCAGTGTAATACGTTTTCTGCCCAATCTTTCAATTAACGCGTTCCTTTTCTGTCGAAGTCACGATATATTTCCATCGAAATGCACTTTCATAGCGAAACCATAACAAGCTTCAGTTTCAATTTCAATTTTCTGCACTGTTTGGGATTAATTAACGTTCTCTCGACCAATGAACACTTTTCCACAAATTGAAAATCTTTATTGATGTTATTCAACACTGCACTATTAAAAATCAATTATTAATTTACATTTCCAAAAGGTTTTTATACAAAAATCGACAAATGAAAGAGTTGTATATGGTAGTGACGTGTATAAACTCGTGGCTGAAGACTTAACAAACCCAATAAACCAACGCGTATTATATTGAAGGTCTTTGTAATGGGACCTAAAAACGCTCCTCCGTTTGCATTTTTTCGGGGATTGTTGCTCTCTGCAGTTTTTATCACTGCAATAGAGTCATCCACTGTTTGTCGATCAGCATACTTCTCAACGTTGGCGGATAAGCAGCTTAAAGGCTTCGTTGTAAAACGGTTTAAGTCTCCTGGCCAAATTTCGTGTTGTCAATCTTGTTTGAAAAACACCTGGTGTACTTCAACAAACTTCAAGCTTGCTCCTCAAACTTCTGATGGCGAAGGAACTTGTGAACTAAACAAGCACAATAGCTCTGTTATTAAACAAAACACATATTTGCAGTTTGAGAAAGGTGTCGCTTTCTCAATGCTTTGGCTTAAGGTAACTAATAGCCTAAAATACCTCATTCATATATTGGGCTCCGTGAGATCTTGTTGATGCGGCTGCAGTTTCATTAGCAGATAAATTATTTGTTTCAATTTTGAAATTTATCAAGTTTTGTGTGTTTAAGTTACTAGTATTTCGTTTGTTAAGTGAATCGACTCATTTTGGTCGAAGTCTTTGTCGCTACATTGGTTTTTAGCAAATGTCAGATTTTTAAGGGGGGAAAATGGGAAAGTAATGATCAAAGCAGAATAATTGAAGTTGAGTTAAAATCTATTTCGATGAGGACACTTGTTATCATGGAATAACTGAGATGATAGGCGCGGTATGATTGATAAACGACCTATCGTTGCTGCATAAGTTAACCCATGGCTATTTCGTAAAAGCGATAGCCCTCACTTTCTATCGATTTACCGGTGCTATAACTCACTATACGAAGTGTCATGTAAACTTTTATTTTTTCGTTTTTCAATTTACCTCCCTTATAGAGAAAAGACTCTCGCGAGATTCCTGCATTATTCTTGCGCATCCTGAGTAACATGCGGGTGGTATCAAGCAAATATTCATCATTGGTTATTTATTTTGAAATGCTGATCATTCCAAAATATTTCGATTTTAAGTTTTTAATTAGAGCTGTTTTCATGTAGGTGAAATTAATTTTCCTTGAACAATGACATTAATTGAGAAATGATGGGGAAATACAAGAGAACACAAAATAGTCTCCGTTTTTTCGACGAAGGGCAAACCTTATCTTGAATTGAATTACTCTGTACATGGCTCATATGAGTCATCAGTTATGCAAAAATATCTAATGGAAAATATCTTGAAGTATTTGCCATGCTAGCAGCGAGTGGTTTAAAAGCTTTTATTCACTATGATCAGAATTTTTCTTGCCACAAAACACCTGTTGCCTGTGTTGCTTATTACTTTAAGCATTAGCCGAAAAGAAGATATTGACTTACTTTTGTCATTCTTGTGAAGATGTGTCTTTATCGTTAGCGTGTGAAATACACTTGAAAAATTCCATGATCTTGTCGCCTGATATTCAGTTTACGAAGAAGCTTTTTTTTTCATATGACAAGATATTCTTTGAACGAAAGGTAACACACGGCGTAAGACTGAGAAGCCATCCTTTTTTCTATGGAATCTGATTTTAAAAATCATAATTTGAAGCGAGAGGTGAAGCACTACTTTCGAGTAATTTCATGGTACGCTCATATTCGTGCTCTGATCAGGTTTTTACGATGTACTGTCTGTTAATACTTCTTTTTAGGGCTGTCCAACAACCAACAGTTGCAAAAATGGAGGTGTGTGTGTGTATGACGAGAAAAAACAGTCTTATTCCTGCAAGTGTAAGCCCATTTGGACCGGAGAAACTTGTACTGATCTGGGTAAGAAGCAACTTGGAATAGCAGAATAAAGATGGTAAAGTAATGTCGGTCAAGGAAATCGAAAATGGCAAGATATCTGTCTCCGAGAGTTGGAAGCAAACAAACCAACGGTTTAACGGGAAAGAGACAAACAAAACAAAATAAAACAGAGGGTTTTGAGAAGAAAAAAATTAAACAGAAAACTTATTGGAATGGATAAAAGCTGAAGAATTTAAATATATGTGTATACGTATAAGGTTAACTTTTTATCTCAAACCATACATCTTTTTTTTTTTTTGAAGTAAAAAAATCAAAAAATTTTCAATCTTGATATATTGAGCTCTGGTCGAAGGAACGATTTACTTAAAGCGTCTTATACATGGCTGGTACAGCGGAAAAATGAGCGTCCATCGTCAGAGTCAAGTGACTCCCATGCTTGGATGCAAGGGTCCAATGTTTTCTGTAGTCTCTTTAAATGAACATTGCTCAGAACAGTTAACAAAATATTACTGACAATTCTTAACGTTATCTTATACTCCCAAAAAGTTACTTGTGACAGCCATCCATGCAAAAACAGGGGAACTTGTAGAGACCGAGTCAACGGATATAACTGTAGCTGTGCACCAGGATTTCACGGGACACAGTGTGAAAAGATTGAAGGTCAGCCTTGTTCAAAAGGTTTGTAGAGACGTGAAACAGATTTAAAATTTCATGTATAAGTCCCTAAATTTTGGCAACAAGCTTTAGTGGTTTCTACAATAAATAAGCGACGTGTTCATCATGCAAGGTGAAGAACGCGAAACATTGCCCCAAAACTTGCAACGAAACAATCTTGTGCGACAAGTTAAGGTTTTTGTATCTCGCATTTCGTCGCATTTAGCGCGGTCTGTACTGTTATAAACAACGATATCCGTTATCACGGTCGTCAAAATTAAATATTTTTGCGGACTCACGAGGTGCACACTACATTTTGACCACTGTGATGACGAATATCGTTGTCCATAAGAGCACAGACCACCTAAATACTCAAAATGTCTTGATATTTGCTTGTGAATTGTTTGAAATCTAGTTTCTTGTATTATCGATTACGTCAATAGTTGACAAACGATATTGGGTAATCAATCTTAGACCTTAGGAAACGTGTGAGACACGACTTCTGACCACCTTAAATTTTTAAACTTCTTTCCACAGCTTACCGCATATTTTTTGAAAAGCCCTCTACCAAACGTCACACCAAGAAAGAAAACGCCATTTCTTCAATTCTATCGGAATTTACTGTCTGCTTTTTTGTTAAAATGAATGACACAAATACAAATGGGGAACAGTGCCTCTACAGTTACGCAGAAGCTTCAAGTACTTCTGGGAATGGTATTTCTGTTTGGTTGAACTATCCAAAGTCAAGAATTGGGATCAGTGTAAATGAGGCGAGGTAAGTGATCATGACGAGTGAAACAAAACAATGAGAAATTTTGGGGCGATTGGCATTGCATTGTATTGATAGTTACAATGATGATAAAGTTTGGAGAGGGACCCTAGGTAACTTAAAATTGCCATGCTGGGTACTGTTTCAGCCATGGAATGAACTGTTTTGGGAGGATATGAGAGATTTTAACGTACATTTCTCTATGATTATTTTCCAAGTGGTACAGACACCGGAGCTGGAATAAGTGACACTATGTGGCATCACATCTGTGTTACCTGGAAAAGCACAAAAGGAGCCTGGCAGCTTTATCTGGATGGACAACTCCGAAGCAATAAAACAGGCTTGAACAAAAATCATAAGGTTCCAGCCGGCGGAACAGTTATTATTGGACAAGATCAAGATAAAGTTGGAGGGGGCTTCGCATTCAACGAGAGTTTTGGACCCGGTGAGGTGACAGAAGTTAACCTTTGGAGCAGGGTCTTGTCAGCGAGTGATATTGCAGAACAGTATGCAAACTGCCACATTACCAAAGTCGGCTTGATACACTGGTGGGAACAATTCAAAGATGGCGTTACAGGTGTGAAAGTAGTTGAACCTTAAACCGAACATTGAGCAGAGCTGAGATAATTTTTTTAATTTAATCGTAATGCAAATGCTTAAATCTATAAGGTAACTGCATTAAACTCATTATATGTAAATCCGGAATAAACCAACGTTTGAACCACACTATATGTTATCCTTGACTTCGGTAAGAAGACTAATGGAGCAGATTTCTATATCCGTTAGCTAAGTGAGACTCAGTTCTCGGACATCTCTTGTACATCAATGATATTTACAAGTCCTCTTCGTTAGTTAACTTTTATCTATTTACTGACGATACCAGGACAATATCTGCAAGTAGCAACTTAAAGGAACTCGAATCTCTTGTTAATCGCGAACTTGGCAACGTCAACGATTGGCTTAAGGCCAATAAACTATCTCTGAACATAAAAAAAATCAAACTTTGTAATTTTTCGTCCCCGACAAAAAAATGCCTTTTATACCTAGGATTAGAATGTTTGACTCTGTGACTTATACCTATGCAAACCTTGAAACGAAAGACTATGTAATGTATCTCGGCTTAATGATTGATCCAAATCTTTCATGGAAATACATATAGAATCTATCTGCTACAAAATTAGCAAGTCAATAGGAATTATTGCCAAAATTCGACATTATTTCCCGCGTCGTGTCTTACTTTCAGTTTACAATTCACTAATTGTCCCTTATTTAACTTATGGTATTTGTGCTTGGGAAAATTATGCCGTGACATTTCAAAAAAAGGATCGTAATTCTACAAAAACGGGCCTTACGTCTTATTTACTTCAGTAAGTCTAAGGAGCACACCGTACCTTTCTTTCTCAAATCGAATTGTCTTCCCCAACCTAGCCTATTTTTCAGAGATTGTAGCTATTTATTGTTTGATATCAAAAGACAGACAGCACCAGTTAGTATACTCAATCAGTTTGTTAAAACAAGTCAGATTCATAACTACAGAACAAGATCAGTCTCTAGTGACTCGTATTTTGTCAAATTCTCTAGAAAAGATAAAATGTATGCTTCTTTCTCGAGAATTGGTGCCCAAATTTGGAACTCTATTCCCTATTCGATTAAACAACTCAAACGTTCCTCTTTTCGTAAAAAGATAAAGGAGTTACTACTAAATTTTTTACGATCAGATGATGATTATGTCGAAGTCTCCCGTCTTATTAAGTTATTTAATACTTTAGGTTAGCCTTCTTTCGTAATCTTAATATACTTGCTCTGTTTTATGCTTATTCTATTTACTTCATAGTAGTGTTTTCATTGTTAGTCCATCTATAAATAAATCCTGAACTTGTAAACTGTCCTTAGGTCTCCTCGCCTCGATTAGTTCATAAGCTATTTGCGGGGAGAAACCAATGTACTTAGCTATGAGATAGAATAAATATATGAAAATCATATATTTTGAACTGCGGTATTTGATACGTATGATGGACGATCCTCGCAGTAGATAGCGCTATTTGAGCAATAGCGAAATTCAGACCTGAAAAAAATCAGGCCTGTACGGGACTCGAACCACTGACCTCTGCGATACTAGTGCAGCGCTCTAACCAATTGAGCTAACAAGCCAACTGAGAGCAGGCCGTTAAGTTGATTCGTAATGAACCCGTGAAAGTGATAAATGAGATAGAATAAATATATGAAAATCATATATTTTGAACTGCGGTATTTGATACGTATGATGGACGATCCTCGCAGTAGATAGCGCTATTTGAGCAATAGCGAAATTCAGACCTGAAAAAAATCAGGCCTGTACGGGACTCGAACCACTGACCTCTGCGATACTAGTGCAGCGCTCTAACCAATTGAGCTAACAAGCCAACTGAGAGCAGGCCGTTAAGTTGATTCGTAATGAACCCGTGAAAGTGATAAATGAGATAGAATAAATATATGAAAATCATATATTTTGAACTGCGGTATTTGATACGTATGATGGACGATCCTCGCAGTAGATAGCGCTATTTGAGCAATAGCGAAATTCAGACCTGAAAAAAATCAGGCCTGTACGGGACTCGAACCACTGACCTCTGCGATACTAGTGCAGCGCTCTAACCAATTGAGCTAACAAGCCAACTGAGAGCAGGCCGTTAAGTTGATTCGTAATGAACCCGTGAAAGTGATAAATGAGATAGAATAAATATATGAAAATCATATATTTTGAACTGCGGTATTTGATACGTATGATGGACGATCCTCGCAGTAGATAGCGCTATTTGAGCAATAGCGAAATTCAGACCTGAAAAAAATCAGGCCTGTACGGGACTCGAACCACTGACCTCTGCGATACTAGTGCAGCGCTCTAACCAATTGAGCTAACAAGCCAACTGAGAGCAGGCCGTTAAGTTGATTCTTAATGAACCCGTGAAAGTGATAAATGAGATAGAATTAAGAATCAACTTAACGGCCTGCTCTCAGTTGGCTTGTTAGCTCAATTGGTTAGAGCGCTGCACTAGTATCGCAGAGGTCAGTGGTTCGAGTCCCGTACAGGCCTGATTTTTTTCAGGTCTGAATTTCGCTATTGCTCAAATAGCGCTATCTACTGCGAGGATCGTCCATCATACGTATCAAATACCGCAGTTCAAAATATATGATTTTCATATATTTATTCTATCTCATTTATCACTTTCACGGGTTCATTACGAATCAACTTAACGGCCTGCTCTCAGTTGGCTTGTTAGCTCAATTGGTTAGAGCGCTGCACTAGTATCGCAGAGGTCAGTGGTTCGAGTCCCGTACAGGCCTGATTTTTTTCAGGTCTGAATTTCGCTATTGCTCAAATAGCGCTATCTACTGCGAGGATCGTCCATCATACGTATCAAATACCGCAGTTCAAAATATATGATTTTCATATATTTATTCTATCTCATTTATCACTTTCACGGGTTCATTACGAATCAACTTAACGGCCTGCTCTCAGTTGGCTTGTTAGCTCAATTGGTTAGAGCGCTGCACTAGTATCGCAGAGGTCAGTGGTTCGAGTCCCGTACAGGCCTGATTTTTTTCAGGTCTGAATTTCGCTATTGCTCAAATAGCGCTATCTACTGCGAGGATCGTCCATCATACGTATCAAATACCGCAGTTCAAAATATATGATTTTCATATATTTATTCTATCTCATTTATCACTTTCACGGGTTCATTACGAATCAACTTAACGGCCTGCTCTCAGTTGGCTTGTTAGCTCAATTGGTTAGAGCGCTGCACTAGTATCGCAGAGGTCAGTGGTTCGAGTCCCGTACAGGCCTGATTTTTTTCAGGTCTGAATTTCGCTATTGCTCAAATAGCGCTATCTACTGCGAGGATCGTCCATCATACGTATCAAATACCGCAGTTCAAAATATATGATTTTCATATATTTATTCTATCTCATTTATCACTTTCACGGGTTCATTACGAATCAACTTAACGGCCTGCTCTCAGTTGGCTTGTTAGCTCAATTGGTTAGAGCGCTGCACTAGTATCGCAGAGGTCAGTGGTTCGAGTCCCGTACAGGCCTGATTTTTTNCGATACTAGTGCAGCGCTCTAACCAATTGAGCTAACAAGCCAAATGAGAGCAGGCCGTTAAGTTGATTCGTAATGAACCCGTGAAAGTGATAAATGAGATAGAATAAATATATGAAAATCATATATTTTGAACTGCGGTATTTGATACGTATGATGGACGATCCTCGCAGTAGATAGCGCTATTTGAGCAATAGCGAAATTCAGACCTGAAAAAAATCAGGCCTGTACGGGACTCGAACCACTGACCTCTGCGATACTAGTGCAGCGCTCTAACCAATTGAGCTAACAAGCCAACTGAGAGCAGGCCGTTAAGTTGATTCGTAATGAACCCGTGAAAGTGATAAATGAGATAGAATAAATATATGAAAATCATATATTTTGAACTGCGGTATTTGATACGTATGATGGACGATCCTCGCAGTAGATAGCGCTATTTGAGCAATAGCGAAATTCAGACCTGAAAAAAATCAGGCCTGTACGGGACTCGAACCACTGACCTCTGCGATACTAGTGCAGCGCTCTAACCAATTGAGCTAACAAGCCAACTGAGAGCAGGCCGTTAAGTTGATTCGTAATGAACCCGTGAAAGTGATAAATGAGATAGAATTAATTTATTCTATCTCATTTATCACTTTCACGGGTTCATTACGAATCAACTTAACGGCCTGCTCTCAGTTGGCTTGTTAGCTCAATTGGTTAGAGCGCTGCACTAGTATCGCAGAGGTCAGTGGTTCGAGTCCCGTACAGGCCTGATTTTTTTCAGGTCTGAATTTCGCTATTGCTCAAATAGCGCTATCTACTGCGAGGATCGTCCATCATACGTATCAAATACCGCAGTTCAAAATATATGATTTTCATATATTTATTCTATCTCATTTATCACTTTCACGGGTTCATTACGAATCAACTTAACGGCCTGCTCTCAGTTGGCTTGTTAGCTCAATTGGTTAGAGCGCTGCACTAGTATCGCAGAGGTCAGTGGTTCGAGTCCCGTACAGGCCTGATTTTTTTCAGGTCTGAATTTCGCTATTGCTCAAATAGCGCTATCTACTGCGAGGATCTTTTTTTATACGTACTTAGCTATATTTCTAATCTTAAATAAATGCTTCTTATTGTTGTTTTTTTTGTTGTTGTTTTTGTTGTTGTTGTTGTTAGTTGACGCGTGCTTCTAGGAATTTTTTTAATTGATGGACTGCTCACAGGAAAATCAGATTGTTTTGTACATTGCTATAACACTCCTTTGGATGAGGGATCTACGAAAAATTTGTAAAGGCTACAGCGGCGCGAATCTGTATTAAGCAGCACCTTATCAAGCCGTAACCCTGTCAAGCTAAGCGGTCGTTTTTTCCAAGTCGTTTTTCAAATTCCTTCCCCTAATTACTGTAATTTAAATCGATTACGGCCACACTTATTCACTTGAGTCCCAGCGGTCCAAACTACCTGTTTGTATCGTCCTCCATCTGTCTTGAACGGTCACTTACAGTGGATTCATTCAAAATAAAACTAAGAATAATCGTATGGTGTCGTCTAAGTCCGTTGATCTCCCCCTTTTGTCGGGTTTAGTTTGATGTTTGCTCAGGGTCTCGCCTCTGCATTCTCATAGATGCGTTTTACTCTGAGCATAGCTAACATATCCTTTGAAGAAGAATGTAAATTGAAAGGAAAAAAAAAGGAAAATTGAGAGGAAAAGAACACAAAAGGAGTAAGACAAAAATAGTTTGACGTGGCCGGGGTTCACCTTTAATTTGCACCAGGTACGCAGAGCGTACGAACTGGCGAAATTTGCTTTAAAATAATTATATTTGATGCTCATTTAACGCGTGTACCTCTTTTATTGATTTCCTGCCCTGTCACTGGCCTGACAATTGACCAGTGTACAAATTCTGTTCTAACAAAGCCCTTTTGTCACAATTGTGGCATCGACGGGAGCTGTTCATCTACCCTTCTGTATTTAATACTACACTGCTTTTTTTAGAGCAGCACTCTACAACTATACAACAGTGGCACTACAGTCATAGAATATGTACTAATTTTTTTTGCAGAAGTCAGCTTTTACTATGGTTTTCTAAGGATTGCACGAGTGGGGCTTTTTTTGTCATATGATAATGCCTCTCACTACCGAAAGCTTTCAACTAATGGCAGGTTTTTTTTCGTGTTGCCGCGCATTTACGCGTGAGGCATGACGCAATTTGCGTCACAAGTTTTTTTACTGACAATTAACCCATTGAGACTTACGAGTAGCACGTGCCTACGAAAAGTTTTTTTTTTGGAAAAGCCACTGAAGCAAACACAATACACCGAATGGAAATATGGTGTCCAATTTGAATTACCCTTGTTCTGGACTCACTAACCTCGTCTTCACGTGGAAACACTTTTTTTTTATCACATGTAGGAGAGTTTCTTTGCTTGAGATCTCAAATGGATCTACATTGTTTATCAAAGATATTTTTGCAAATATCTCGCTTTACACGGCGTATCAAGGTAGATTTTTTTGATTTTTTAGAAGACATTGTCAAGCTCGCATTGTTTCAGTCGAACAGTTGTTTTTTTAAATGGCGGCCACCGTAGTTGCTAGGGGATACGTGACGTAACGTAAAAACTTTTTTTAAAGAACTTGTTTCCGACGAAAAAAGCGATAGGTGCATATTAAGTTTTTATTTTTTTATCAAGATGAAAGATAGAAATCGCTAAATATTTTCGCATGTGTGTAAATGTTTTTTTGGTCATATTTCAAAAGGGAATATGTAAATTTGTCCGTGACTGAAGAGATCTTTTTTTCCATGGAATCTATCAATAGGAAGCAAAACGAAAATGACCAAGAAATATTTTTTTTTTACAGATTTATTCAAAGCAGTTTTTGAT